TTTAAGCAAAATATAAGCAAACATCATATTAAACATTTTTAACATGCATGAAAGTGGCATATTATGAAACTAGATGCAATTCTAAGCATTTTCCATATATAATTTATTTTAAAAAGATGCACCGTTTGTGAGTTATTAAATGCATGTTGTGCAAGGGGCTTTCTATAAAACTGCAAAACCCTGGTTAATAGACAAATTCGCCGATCTGGAAAAAAATGTAAGCAGGCCGAATCTGGCTGGCCCGATAGCAGGGAAAAAAAGGCGCTCAGGGGGGTGGCTCACCCAGTGGGCTTCGGGCCAGGTTGGAACAGCAGAGGAGGAGAAGGGCCGGTTGGGGCGCTGGGCCTCGGGTGGGTCGCGGCCCACGAGGCCCAGAGGCGTGTCGTCCTCGTCCCCGATCCCGCTGGATCGAGGGAAGCCAGGGGTGGCGACGCTGCGAAGCTCAGCGGCGGCCAGGGCGTGGGGAGGCGCGATCCGGTGATGGTCCAGTGGCGAAGATGGCGGGGCCCTACCGGATCCGGGCGGATCTGGCCAGGGTGGCTCCACTTCCGGCAAGGGGAGGCCGGATCGGGCGGGGCCGACGAGGGTAGGGCGCCATGGCGGCGGAGGGGCGAAGCACATGCGGGAGAGGACGAGCCCGAGGTGAGTTCGGGCATGGGGGAAGAAGGGAGAGGGCGCGACGGGGCTGGCCTGAGCGGAGGTGGTCGCCGGTGGCCACGCTCCGGCGACGTTCGACGGGGAGGCAGCGACGAGGGCTGAACCTTACGGGAACGACGCAGCTCGGGGGCGGTGCAGCTGCGGGGAACGACGCGGTCGGGCCCGAGCGGGCCTCCCACAGGCTTCGTAGGGCCGTGTTGGAGGGGAGCGGGCAGGGGCCACGTGGCCGGCCCTGGTTGGCTGCGGGGCGCTCAGGAGATGTCTCGGCTAATCAGGAGGCGACAAGTGGCGGGGATGAGGTGGTTGCGCCGGAATTTGAGGAGGAGGCAGTTGGCCGTGGCTGGCGGCGCGATTCGAGGGGGAAGGTTGGCGCTAGATCCGAGGAAGGAGGTCTAGGGGTAGGGGAGGAGCTAGGTTGCCCAAAATGGCAGGAGGGTTCTATATATAGAGAAGGTTTAGGGTTAGGGGGGATTAGGAGGGGTTTTCTTTCGTTTTCAGGCATCGGATCTCGATCCGACGGTCCGGAGCGGAGGGGATAAGTAGGTGGGTTGATTGTGGCTGTGCAAAAGGCCTCGGGTTGAGAGGAGAGAATAGAATAGCAGCCCGGCAACGCTTTTCGGAGACCGAAAACGTCCGACGAAAAGACCGACTATATTGCCGCTATAGTTTAACGGTTGGGCTATCAAACGAGCTCGGAATGCGATGAAACTTGGCAGGCGACCTACTAACAACATAACAACACCGCAAGCCAACTCTCATGCCATTCCGAGAACATTTCTCGACCACTTATAAAATACTATTTCGACGTGTCGCGGGCGCGTGCAAGTGTGTATGGGCTCAGAACGGACAACGAAGAGTACTGGGGAACCCTGACGAATGCAAGTTTCAAAAACATGATGATGCAATGCACATGATGACATGATGAGATGCAACATGCAAGCAAATGACATGGCAACGACGACGAATAACTGGAAGACACCTGGCACATCGGTCTTGGGGCGTCACAAATGCTCAGGCCACACCACCATCTGTACTGTGGGCACGCACGTTTGGGCTTCGCGGCCTCCACTGTGACGTCCACCACGTCCGTCACGACCACCACGCCCGACGCCACCACCCGGCCCACCGGCGGCCATCCGCTTCTTGAGCTTCTCCTCCTTTCTGGCCTTCGCTTTGACGCAGCGAGTTTGCCGCATAGCCGAGTTGATCTTCCGGGCGAGCGTGATGCTCGGATCCTTCGACACCTCCGGCACCTCCATCTCTGAAAGGTTCTCCTCCGGTTCTATGCATCGGCGGCAAAAAGGAGAGGGTGGGAGAAAAGGGTGGGAATTGGGTGGAAAGCGGCGGGGGATGGAAGAAGAGAGTGGGGGATTTTGGTGCGGAAATAATGCGGGTTGTTACAAAAGCACCGGCTCCGCCTTCCTTTTGGGTGGGCCAGGGGGTCAGAGTCCGAAGTTTCTCGTGTCCGAACTCCCCCCCTAACGTTTGGTTCCGATTTGTGGAAAATCATGGTCTGGACTGCCCCGCGGACCGATACAGGACCGCGTTCGATGGCTTCGGCGGTCTGGACCGTGTGGTCCGGACGTATACAGGCGGTTTGTGGGTCGGCGTTGGAGATACCCCAAAGCATGTGGATGGCTAACATTCAATTCAATTTTTGTGCTTGTGGGTGTAAGGAAAATCGAAAAGTTAGCATTGCAGTGGAGTAATCTCCCAATCGATAGTGAAACTGGCAGTTTGGCGGTAGTCAACATGGTGAAAAGCGGAGATACAAACAGATCAAAGTATGCTTTTCTTAAAAAAAATGTGGGTAATGCTTTTCTTATTGGAGAGAGTAGAGATAGCATGTCTGAGCATAGTTCTTGTATTACTCACATTTGCCGTAGTGGGAATTCTTCTAGCCATGTATTATCAAACATCGGTAGAACTCAAGGTTGAACTGCTTTATGGCTTGGGTCTGGACCGAAGGTCGTTTCGGACACTATTGGGTGTGATTGTATCCCTTGATTGAGTAATACAAGAACCGTTTCGCAAACAAGGAAAATCAACAAGTGATGCATCTAACCTTTTGAGTTATTTCATCTAGATTTGTTTCTCAGATTTTGACCATATACATCACTCAATTTTTCCCTTTTTTTGTAGGCGCAAAGAGACGAATAATTGTAAAGTGGTGTCAGGCCGTTAGGTAGTTGGATGTGGTATATGGATCATGCATGTAGTGCCACTTAGAAGTGGAACTTGTCATGAGAAGCCAAGACACTGCCAGTGACCAAGGATTTGGCTACAGACTGGCTTTTTTTCGGGGGAGGTACAGAAATTTGAGATCCCGTGGTAAGCATAAATTACCAGCAAAATTCTGAATAGGTTCAAATTTAAACTCTGACATGGTATAAAATGAATGTTAACACATGTGTAGTATGCTTTCATCATCAGAGAGATCAAATTCAGTATGGGGGAACATGATTCTTCCATTATTGATATTCGTCGGAGCGGAAACAGTGCTAATAATTTCACGACAAACTTTGATAGGTTGCATGGCCAAACAATTATCTGGCTTGGCTCTAGCCCAGATTTTTTTAGAAAAAGAGAAAGACCCCCGGTCTCTGCATCTGGGCGATGCATATATCCATTTTATTAATTATTAACATAAGACCTTACAAAGTCATACAACAATAAGACTAAAGCTACCGTCTAAATAACATCTGTCGCTACTCCTATTCCAGATGACGAAGGGACGTAGATAGTCTGGACCACAGACCTCGCAGCCAAACCTAACATCTAAGACCTGAGGTTCCAACCAGGACGCCTGCCAGGTATGGGCACCCACCAGTCCGGCGTGCTCCTCAACCAGGACGCCTGCCGGGTATGAGGCCGTCGTAGCCATCTGCCACCAATCCATCTTCAGAGCTGTACTGCTGCATGAACCTTGCCCGGTCTAGCTGCCGCCGACGCCACCACGACGCCAGACAGCGTCGACCTCCTGCGCGAGTCCATGATCGCACATCGGACGCCTAATCTCCAGACCGTCATGCTATCGAGATCCGACACCATCAATGTGTGTGATGAAGCACCGCTCCTTCTCTTGTCACCTCCAGCCATCACTTGCTCCAAAACGATGCCCCCATGAGGGAAAGCGCTACTAAGAACACCGTCATCGTCCGATCCGGAAGACCCAGATCTAGGGTTTCCCCCGGAGCATCCTGAGCCTGATGACGCCAACTGCAACAACGATGCCTCGACAAGGAAACAACATCAAAGACGCCGCCATCATCCGCCATGACCGTAGTCGGCGCGATTTTCATTGACAGTTGCGCCACCGGGCGTACACCGCCAGCCTCGCTGGTTCCTTCGACCGTAGCAAACTCCAAAATGATGCCCCGAAGAGGGACTACGACGCAAAAGCACCGCCATCGCTCGATCCCATGAAGATCTAGGGTTTCCCCCGGAGTTTCCAGGGTTGTCAAGGACCAGACAAAGATGGAATCCCGCAGGTCCGTCGAACTGCCGACGTGTCGCACTCGCCATCGCGCCGACCGTTATCCGGAGACCAAGCTCACGCCTGGGCCCAGATCCGGCCGCGCCGCGCCGCCTGGCGCCCCAAATCTTGAAGCCGTCTGCCATGGGGAATGGGATCGTCGGAGCGCCGTCAGCCCCCATCGTGACGTCCGGCTGCATGCCACGCTCCGGCCCGGGGGCGCCGGCCCGCACCAGCTCCTCACAAGCGGGAGGGCACCTAGTCCCCGCCGCCGTCGGCAACGGCAAGGCTTTGCCTGGTTGCGCCCTCGGGCGGCGGCGAGGGAGGAAGAGGGGGAGTCGGGGGTGATGGGATCTGGGACCTCCCAGCCGCCGCATGGGGGCGACTCCATAAAAATTGGGGGAGAATTACACTTCCCCGGCCTCTGCACCAACTAAGGATGCATACGGTCTTTTAAGTATGAGTACTAAGATTTTTAATTTCGATTACGCACCGAGCCTAGTCCTCAATAAATGCGTGAGTACCAGAATTTTTTTTGAATTTTGTGGATTTGTGGTATAGCTACTCACGTTCAAACAAATCCACAAATTTTCTTTCAGCAATAGTATCTACTCAAACACGTTTATATCGTTGGTAATTGCGGTATTTAACTCGGTAACCAAGTCCTTGCAAGTGACCAACATATCTATCCGGCCGGTTGATACCACGTGCGTGAGTGCTGTTGCAACAGTACATTCTATAGCGTATAAATAGGCAGGAGGGCCTGGGCTATTGCTCCAACTCACCGGTAGATTGCCCCACTACCATTCCAAGCGCACATTCCAGCTACTCTGCAGTTCGGAAAGAAAAAGATATAGCTGCAGGCGGCATGATGGGGGTGAAAGTGGCCACTGGCAAGGCTCTGATGATACTGGTTGCAGTGTTTATTATCTGCGCCGGCGGCGGCGTGGTGGTCTCGCCGGCAGCCGCGGAGGAGGTGCCCCTGGTGCCGGCGGTGTACGTGTTCGGCGACTCTACCATGGACGTGGGCAACAACTTGTACCTGGGGAACGTTACGCTGCCGTATCCCCCGTTTCCCTACGGCATCGATTTCACGGGCCCCGGACCCAACGGAAGGTTCAGCAACGGATACAACATGGCCGACTCCATATGTACGTACGCGCAGGCACTTTTTCATCGGGTCTTTTCATTTTCTTTTCTTTTTTTCCGCAAGGTCATCGTGTCTTTTCACCCATGTGTGAAACTAACAGAAATATGCAAATTGAAATGCAGCGAAGCTGTTGGGTTTCAATATGAGCCCGCCGGCTTTCCTGTCGTTGACGCCGGAGACGAGCGTTGAGATCCTGAAAGGCCTGGGCGGGGTCAACTACGCTTCCGGTGGATCCGGCATTCTCGACACCACCGTCAGTACTGCTGCCTTGAAATTTTGCGCATTTTTTGTTTGTTCCGAAGACCTCTTTTACATATTGTTTTTCTTTTGCAGGAATACATATTAGTTTTACAGATACATCTTTTTTTATCCATTTTGATGACAATATTTTTGGACGGAGGAAATATTTTTTTAATGAAAGGAGCATAGCTCGCAGCTTTCACATATTATCTCTCTACCATAATATAATACCTCTCTTTCTCGCAAAAAAAATATAATACCTCTCTAAAACGACTTATATTTAGAAACAAAGGGATTACGTCGTTTTAGCAGTTCAATATACAAAAAACACATGCTACAGCCAAGTACCAGCAATAAAGATTCAAAAACAAAACAAAAGACATAAACTAGTACTTCCTCTGTAAACTAATATAAGAACGTTTAGATCACTAAAGTAGTAATCTAAACACTTTTATATTAGTTTACGGAGGGAGTATATCGGGAAAAGGGCTATGTCCCCTTGTCTTAACCCTTTCTTTGTCTTAAAGTAGGGAACGAGTTGGTCATTATTCCCGCAAAAAGAAAAACGACTTGGTCATAATGCTGATATTGTCTGAGCTACATTTTTTTTTCTAACAACAACTTGTGAGCATTATTAGTTTTAGATTGTCAAATTCATATTTAGATGTTTTCTAAGGATGTCATATCTAAACTCCCACAAATAAGACAACAACAAGAAACAAAAAAAACTGGCACAAAAAAAGACCACAAACATAATAAACATCAGATTAGATGTGACATAACTAATGTCACATCTAGATGTGTTCTAGACAGACTCAGTTAGTTCACAATGTCTGAGTTACTTGTACTAATCCTGCTTCTTGTTTGCATCGATTGATTGATCAGAATAATGCCGACCTCCCGTTGAGCAAGCAGGTGGAGTTCTTTGCAGCCACCAAGGCAAACATGACCGAGAAAAGCGGCGGCAATAGCACCAACATCGATGCGCTGCTGTCCAAGTCGCTCTTCCTCATTAGCGACGGCGGCAACGATATGTTGGCGTTCTGGGGGAATAGTCCGTCGTCGGACAAGGTTCAGCCCTTCTACGACGACCTTCTGTCCAACTACACCAAGTATGTCAAGAGGCTGTACCGGCTCGGGGCGCGGCGTTTCGGTGTCATCAACGTGCCGGCCATCGGCTGCGTGCCGGTGGTGCGGGCGAAATCCCTGATCGGTGAGATCTGCGAACCCTTTGTCAATAAACTCGCCGATGGCTTCAACATCGCCTTGGGCGACGCGATGGCGAACCTTAACGCGTCGCTGCCCGGGATGAGGTACTCTGTGGGGAGCTCCTACAACCTGGTGACCAACTTCACGGGGCCGCCGGTGGCCCCCGGCTTCGACGATGTGAAGAGCGCGTGCTGCGGCGGCGGGAAGTTCAACGGGGAGACCTTTTGCAGCTTACCCAATACCACCCACTGCGACCACCGCGACGACCATCTGTTCTGGGACGGGGTGCACTGCACCCAGGCCGCCTCCAACAAGGGCGCCGAGGCCATCTTTGCCGCGCCGGTAGAGCTAAATTTCACCGCACCCATCAATTTCAAGCAGCTGCTTCTTGATGATCAACCCACAAACGTCAGCCGTTAATTCACTTGCGAGTGGGTGAGTCTCTGTTACTAGCACTTCTGTCACGTTCGTTTTATCCTTGTTCTCAGTGTCGAGCACAGCAGATGTGTTGCATGTGCTCAGTAAGTAGTATACTAGTTTGGACGTTTTGTATCGTGCAAAATAAGGAACCTGACACGTACTTTGTTTGCGTGGAGGTGCGTCGTATAAGTGGGCTGCAATGTTACAAGCTGTTCGTGGCATAGGAGTCGGTCATGTTTGATTCCTTACTGAATATCCTTACACTGAATAAAGAAGAGAAACAGGAAAGACGCAAAGATAACAGCGTCGCAAAAATCTCGTGTCTTCTCTTAGTGTTCATCAGGGCCGATTCTAAGATTTTGTGGGCCCAGGGCAAACCTGAGAATCAGGGGCCCCAAATATAAGTGTCACACAACAACAATGACATTCTTTAATATTACAAATAAACACTTTACTGCACCCAATTTTGATATTTACATCTAATATTTTTTTAGATATTATCTTAAAAGTTTATTATAACATCCCGCTCAAAATTGGGGATCGTAAGTTCATGATTCGCATGACACATGATCACTCATTCTTCTATTGACATACATGTGCACAAACAAAAACTCCAAACGTTAGACATTTGCCGATCCTAGAAAACATCCAAAAACCCGACTACAAATTACCAAACAAAGGCAAAAGGGCAATAAATAGATACATGACCTGGAGTCTATTGAAATAATTCTCGATGCAAATTCACTTATGATTGAGTCGGACCTCAATTTTGCCCAACAGTTTCTTGTAGGTGCATAATACTGCCAAACCATTTAACAGTGCAAGATACGCATCATATATTTATGTGAAGGCAATTTACTTAATTGGCAACATACATATAAGGATTGGGGAATAGGTAATAGTATGATGATATACCTCATACCAATCGCATCTGCTTCCGTGATTAGACGCTCAGCAACGAGGCACTCAGCGATATAGTGTTCCCGTCTGCCATCCACATCGCACACCCGGCGCCTGGAAATTGGATACCGGCCAGAGGCGCTCGGCGTTGTCAATTGCCATGGCCTGGCGATGTGCGCGAGTCTCTGCTGGCGGCCAGAGACTTGTGATCGAGAGTTCGTGACGGGGGAATAGAGAATAGGGTAGTGAATTAGCGATGCGATCTCACGTCACGATCGTACTGATTGGACGCGTCTGTTTACTTTCCTATGTTGCTACGTCTTTCCTTTATTGGGCTAATTTCATTCCGGGAGGAGTTATGGGGCGATGGGCCACCAACGTACAA